ACGGATCTACGGCGACGACGTCGGGTTGGTCGTCCTCACCGGCCACAATGCGAACGGTCGACCAACTAGGACTACGGCCTAGAAAGTCTTGGAATTAGGCGCCGAAAACGTCTGACAGGACTCGGCGTGAGGTATTGATCGACCTAACCAACCTTTAAATGTCGGACAAAGCAACCAAGGAAGAGGGAGCAGCGGCCGTGACCGACTTGCTAGAAAGACTGCTAGAGCATGGGGCGGAAGAATCCTTGCGGCCAAACTCACCGATTAACTTAATCGAGTTCCTCCACGAGTCGGATGACGCGGACGTTTTGACCATCGACGACTTAGAAACAGCGCCTGCCGAGATGGAGGATGACTACCCTGAGGTTCAAGACCCTTTATTAGAAATAAATGTAGGGAGGGAGGCCGAACCAAGGCCTTTTTTTGTAAGCCAACTTTTAGACTCGGGAATGTGGGGGCAATGTTTGTGCCTAATAAAACTCGGCCAAGGAAGCTGACCGAAGGAGGCTGGCCGAAGGAACAACAGCTCGGCCCTAGCGTCTATCCACGGCCAGGTCATTATTCTTCCTTTTGTCAAAAACAAAAGTAAGTTATGATGCAAAGTCATCACGGCCTCGGTCACGGCCTCGGTAATACTAGCTGAGGGCAAACTCCTCAGATGCACGGCCAAAGTAGGAAAATCAAGTGGCGTCATGGTCCCACGCTTCATTTAATGAAGTAGTGCCTCTGATCACAGCAGAAAGACCATGATCCACGGAGGAGCATTTAATGAGCCAAGAAAGAAGGGACGTGATTGAAGTCAGATATGGTGAGTAAAATCAGGGATTAGGTGCGAAAATCCCATGATTTTGTAAGGCTAAGAGACCAACCATCAGACCAGGGCATTAAATGCCCCTCCAAGGCCCGAGATGCAGAGCCCACCACCAGGAAGGCGGCCTGGGTTTATGGGTGTCACACCACCATGCTTCACGTTCCCAAATACTGACTCAACTACCCACTAGCTCTGATCAACCTCACCATGCAGATTTTCAGCTTTATTGTCTTCTCAAGACCTTCTCTATAAATGGCGAGCTCCAACTACATTTAAAAGGTTCAACACCAAACACAAGTCTCCCACGGAGCAGATTATATTTTCCTGTCATTTACTTCTTGTCATTTACGTTCTTGTAATGTCATTTCAATACACTTACTTGCTTTCTTAGGAGTAGTGGCAGTTTGTAGGAAAATCCATTCATCAATATATCATACGACCCTTGATTTTCAAGGCGCCGGAGCACTATCTTTGTTACTCTTAAGTTCATCCCATATATCATACGACCGTCGCCACCCAGCGACGTGCCGGAGCACCACCGAAAACCACCATCAGCACCACCATCAATGGCCTTCTAGCTCAGGCCGTGAACCTGATGGCCGAGATCAGTTCCTCTCTCGGCCTTAATCGCTCTGATTAGAAGTCAGACTTAAACAGGCGCGCAACTCATCTATTCACCCAGCCGCATCATTCCCAAATGCACGGCAAATCGTGCTGGCACGCCCGCGCACAAACCACACGGTGCCAGAAGAAGGAAGACCTGTGTTGACGTAGACCCCCTCGGCTCTGAACACCAGGCCGTAGGATTCGCTAACGCCAACAGTCATCACATGTATTTCTGGGTTCGTGTTCTTGCAGTTGACTAGTCATCTTTTTCTGCTGTCTAATGCTTACTTGATTATGATGCTTTCACACACTTTCACCATAGTTGTTGCTAGCACAGGGGATGCCTAGATTGACGGGTCTTTCTGAGTGCCTAGGTTGTCACTAGTAATTCTCTAAGCTTGTAGGTACCTATTGATATGCTCCTAAGTGCCAATTTCACTAAATGCGCTTTGTATGGAGGTGATGGTGTTTCATGTGGTGGGCCAATATGTGTAGGTGGCGGTGTTTCAGGTTGTGTAGGACTTGGGGTGTCTAGTGGTGGTATTGGTGTGGAGTGGGAAGTAATGGCATCGTGAATAGGCAAAGGTAAACATAGATATTCAAAATGATCAAGTTGGGTGTCACAAGGCAAGGTAGAAAATGGAAAGTTTTGTTCATGAAAAACAACGTCTTGGCTAGAGAAGAATGTCTTAGTTTGAAGGTCATATAGTTTATAGGCTTTTTGACCCAATGGATACCCAACAAATATGCATTTTCTTGCTTGGGAATCAAACTTTGAAGAAGGTTTGGTATTGGTGGCATAGCATAAGCAACCAAAGACTCATAAGTGGTGATATTGGGGTACTTGTTTATGGAGCATTTCATATGGTGTTCTTTTGGAAAGCAAAAGGGTTGGTAAACGATTGATAATATATGCAGCAGTTTGAATGCCTTCGCCCCAAAATTTTAAGAGAAGGTGTGCTTGAAAACTTAAGGCTTGTGCGACAATAAGGAGATGGCGGTGTTTGTGCTCAACGACACCGTTTTGTTAGGGTGTAGAAGTACAAGAGTGCTGGAAAATGATGCCCAAATCATTAAAGAAAGGACGCATGGAAGTAAATTCACTCCCATTGTCTGAACAAACCTATTTAACATGACATTGGAATTGTGTTCGCACGAAAGCAAATAATGATTTTAATAGGCGACCCTGTGTTTCACATTTAAATTGCATAAGATGAACCCATGTGTGACGAGAAAAATCATCCACGATGGTTAAGAAATAATGAGCACCGGTATGTGAATTAATGCGATGAGGTCCCCATATACCACAGTGTATCAAATCAAAGGGTGCAAGTGTAGAAATAGAACTTAAAGAAAATGGTAGTCGAGTCTGTTTGGCCATTGGACAGATTTCACAATGAGAATTTAAATTGAAAGGAATACCAAATACGGATTTTGACAGAAATTGTAATGGGGCAGCAGAGGGGTGCCCAAGACGACGGTGCCACAAATTAAAATTGGTGGAGGTGGTATGTGCTGCAGGTGGCGGCTTGATATCCGTGGGCCTGATAAGATAATACAGGCCATCATGCTCCTTCCCCAGCCCAATCACCTTCTTCGTTGTCAAGGCCTGTAGAATACAAAATCATGGGTGGAAAATGACAGTGCAATGAAGGTCACGAGTTATGTGGTCAGTGTCACCACTATCGATTATCCAATCCTTAGAACCTTGATGAAAAGAAGCAACATGACATTTGGAAATGGATGTACCTGTGATTTTTTCACAAAACTTAAATTTACCATCACGTAACATAGCCTTGATATGATGGTATTCATGTGCTGTGAATTGAGGGATTCCATGGAATGAATCGCCACTTTTGGAAGGAGTACCTTGCGCATTGTGTGCCAAGGAGTGGTTGCCTTCACAGTATGTGCAAATTAAGGATTTGCCTTCGATATCTTGAGATGTGTTGTCAACGCTCGTCATCTTCAAAGTGTTGCAGCGGAATGGAATGAGGCTTAGAGTATTGAAGATCGATGCTCTGATACCATGTTAAAATTGGTAAAAGAGAAGAACTTGCAGAGAAATTTCTCGTGTTTTCATTGATATTTTAGCAAGCAAATACAAATCTTAAATACAAGAAAGGAAAAGCTGTACAAGTAAAGTTAACTAAACTTGTGCCTAAAGTCTTGCAACTAACTACAATCAAAATAATGGAAAGATTGCATAAGAGCAGATCCTACAATTATGGCTTGACTTAAATGTGACTAAAGAGATTTGCTGATTCTCAATATATGAAGCTCTGGTAATGATCTAGTTTGCTTCATTTCTCTTTTTCCACACACACTTTTTTTTCATGAATTGATCAGCATGGAATAACACTGGACAGTTGTGCAGCAACAGCAGCAGCAGCAGCAGCGCAACAAGGAGTTATTCTCAGCAATGTCATACAATAACTGGTTCTTATATTTTCTTCAGTTTTGATTTTCTTTTCAAAAACTCCATTAATCATTTCCTTTTTCTATTTTGTTTTGTTTGCCACAAGAGATCAACAACAGGAGAAAACCAAATCAAGATTGACAGTTGTAGCAAAACAGTCCATGAAGGGACGAACCTGACAGAGCAAAGTTTGTGCCTAAAACCAGAGACTGAGGACTCCTTGTTGGCTGCCTCTGTATTGCCCACTAGACCATTAATTCTATGGCCAAGAACTTGGTTGGGTCCAATTCCATAGACCTTGAATGCTACAGAATATTAGAAGCAAAAGTGGAAAAGTCAGCCACTGGATTTGTTAGTAAAGTCAAAGACAAAACATAGACATCCCTAAGTGGCTTGTCTACCACCTTGTTACTTTTCCTTGTTTTCATATTCCTTGTTTTAGGGATGGAAACTCTCCATGTTTCCCTCCATGTCTTGTGCATTGTTTGTAACTAATAATCACCTTGTATACTTGTATATCTAACCCTTCACTAAGTAAGAAACTCAATTGGCAGATTTGAATTCTCTGCAAAACCTATCTTGTTCTTCTTATTATACATTCTCAACTCTCTCAATTACACTATATTTGGCATGGTATCAGAGCAATCGATTTTGGTTGCCTCTGCATAACCTTGTTCTTGCCTAAATCTCTACCTATCCTTGCCCATAATTTGCTGTTATATTATTCCTACCTCATACTTTGCCTTGCCTCAAAATTGGTCTTGATCACAAGCCCTTTTTGTGCTCTTGTTTGCTGAAGTTTTAAGCTATTTCTTCCTCTACATCCTTTTATATACTTACCTCATGGGTGACACCAACGACTCCATCAACGACTCCACGGACGACTCCTCTAAAATCGACTCCACCAAGATCGACTCCACAACACCACCACCACCCCGGTCCTCTCATGACTACTCTCCAATTACTCCTGATAAGTTGGATGGGTCCAACTATCCTGCATGGTCTCGTAGTGTTCGCTTGGCCATCACTGCTCGTCGTATGGCTGGTTTCATTAATGGTAAAAAGATTGCCCCTGCCATTGATGATCCTAGCTATGAAGCTTGGGATGAAGACAACTGTTTGGTGCAGTCATGGCTCCTCAACTCCATGACCAAAAATGTACGTGCCTTATTTGATCACTGCTCAACGGCTTATGCGGTGTGGGACGCAGCTCGGAAGACATATACTGTCACACAGAATAGCTCCAAGTTGTACCAACTCCGTCGTCAGTCAGTCACCACCTCTCAAAGTGGTGAACCTGTGAATGTATTCTACGAAAAATTACACATAATATGGCAGGAAATTGACAGCCTCCGTCCCTGCAAACATACCAATCCCGATGATGTGGCTCTTCACCAACAAGCACTTGAGGTGGAACGTGTGTACGATTTTTTGGGAGGACTCGATCCCAACTTTGATTCCGTTCGTAGTCGGATTCTTGCCATGAATCCGCTTCCAGCAGTCATTGAAGCTTATGCACTAGTGGTAGAAGAAGATAATCCTCCAAGTTGTACCAACTCCGTCGCCAGTCCGTCACCACCTCTCAAAATGGTGAGCCTGTGAATGTCTTCTATGAAAAGTTACACATCATATGGCAGGAAATTGACAGCCTCCGTCCCTGCAAACATACCAATCCCGATGATGTGGCTCTTCACCAACAAGCACTTGAGGTGGAACGTGTGTACGATTTTTTGGGAGGACTCGATCCCAACTTTGATTCTGTTCGTAGTCGGATTCTTGCCATGAATCCGCTTCCAGCAGTCATTGAAGCTTATGCACTTGTGGTAGAAGAAGATAACCGACAATCCTCCATGCTTGGCGGGGGAAGTGCAATGGCCGTCAAGCCCTATCGACCACCACACCGTACGTCCTCCGGATTTCCCCCCCGGGGTCCCAAAACTGACGATGCAAAGGGAACTCAGAAGTGCACTCATTGTGGTGGTAATCATCTTGTTGAGAAGTGCTTTAAGCTTCATGGTTATCCTGAGTGGTGGGATGCTCTCAAGTCCCGCAACAAAACACCCAAGGCAGCATGTGTTATAACTACCGATGCCTCTCCATCTTCCACCCTACTCTCCGACTCCGAATCAGGTACACGACCCACTACATGGATAATTGACACAGGTGCCACTGATCATATGACTTTTGACTCTACTATGTTTTCCACAATATCTTCTAAGTCTCGTCATCCTTACATCACTAGTGCCAATGGAGTCCCCTCTAATGTTGCTGGTGAAGGAACTATATCACTTTCCCCTTCCTTATCTTTATCTCATACACTACTTGTTCCCTCCATCAATTGCAATTTGCTGTCTGTTGGAAAATTACTTGACTCACATAACTGTTATGCCACATTCTTTCCTTCCCATTGTCTTTTTCAGGACCTCACGACTCACGCGACGATTGGGCATGGTAAACGAAGAGGGGGGGTTGTATTCCTTGATGGTCTCTTCACCACCAAGGGCAGCTCATACTCAAGGTTCCAGCTCACGAGCTCGCAATCAACATCAGATTTGGCTTTGGCATCGTCGTCTAGGACATCCATCCTTTGGCTATCTTCAACGTTTGTTTCCGTCTTTGTTTCGTGGCCTAGATCATTCTCAGTTTCAGTGTGAAACCTGTGTATTGGCCAAAAGCCATCGAACTGTTTTTCCCTTAAGTGATAATAAAACGGAATTCCCTTTTGATTTGGTTCACTCTGATGTTTGGGGTCCTGCTAAAGTTTCTTCCAATGGCAAAAGATGGTTTATTACATTTATTGATGATTGTACTCGCATGACTTGGGTATATTTATTAGCTCATAAAAGTGACGTTTCCGCTGCAATCCGTGAATTTCATGCTATGATTACCACACAGTTCCAAGCTTCCATCAAAGTATTCCGGTCTGATAATGGTGGGGAATATGTGAACAATGTCTTGGCACATTTCTTTCGAGACCAAGGCATCATTCATCAAACCTCCACATCTTTCACTCCGCAACAAAATGGTGTCGCAGAGCAAAAGAATTGACAATTACTTGAGGTTACTCGTGCTTACATGCTGGATAAATCGGTCCCTCACTACTTATGGGGACATGCCCTTCTTTCTGCAGTATATGTAATTAATCGAGTGCCGAGTAGTGTTTTGAAGTTTGAAACTCCACTGAACACCTTGGCTCGTCATGTCTCTCTTCCTACAGTCCTCAAGCTGCCTCCTCGCATATTTGGTTGTGTTGTATATGCTCATGTTCCATCTCATCAAAGAAGTAAGCTGGACCCTTGTGCCATTCGATGTGTGTTCGTTGGGTATGGATCAACTCAAAAGGGATACAAGTGTTACCATCCTCCTACTCGTAAGCTCTTTGTCACTATGGATGCCACATTTCATGAAGATTTATCCTACTTTAAAGCTGCTATGCCCCCTTCTCTTCAGGGGGAGAGAAGGAATGAAGAGAAGGAAGAAAAGGAAGAAAATATCCAAGTCTGTGACAAAACGACCGGTCGCAACCCAGAAGCGACCGGTCGCTTTCCTGAAACGACCGGTCGCACTGACCACAGCGACCGGTCGCATTGCTCTAGGGATGATGAAGATCGACTCTGTGACAAAACGACCGGTCGTAATATAGAAGCGACTGGTCGTCCAGACTCCAGGGAGGAAAATCGACTTTGTGACAAAACGACCGGTCGCACAGAACCCAGCGACCGGTCGCCAAGCACCAGTGAACTTCAAAATTTGGGCAGCGATGAAGGTATTGGAAAATTGTCGTTCTTATTTGGTGAAGATCCCGGAGGAGACAATTCAAATGGTTGCTGCGATCAACAACAAAATACAACCCCTTCTTCTCAACCATCGGACCAGTCGTCTCGTGATGAGGAAACACTTGAGGTAATTCCCGAAGCACCTAATGCTATACCATACACTCTCCCACCTAGGACCACTAGAGGAAAACCCAAGCCTCAATATTGTCCTGACCTTACTGCCAAATCTAAATATCCCATTAATAACCATGTTTCAACTCATAGATTGTCAAAGTCATATGCATCATTTGTCAATCAATTATCTACTGTATGTGTTCCAAATAAGTGGCAGGATGCTATAACAGATTCCAGATGGGCTGAAGCAATGGCAATTGAAATGGAAGCTCTGGAAAAGAATTCTACATGGGAAATAGTCCAGTTGCCACAAGGGAAGAAACCCGTTGGATGTCGGTGGATATACACCATTAAATACAAAGCTGATGGATCCATAGATCGATCCAAAGCTCGATTAGTGGCCAAAGGGTATACACAAACATATGGAATTGACTACCAAGAGACATTTGCACCTGTTGCCAAGATCAATACCGTACGTGTTCTCATGTCATTGGCTGCAAACCTTGATTGGCCACTATTGCAGTATGATGTAATGAATGCATTTCTTCACGGGGAATTGCAAGAAGAAGTGTATATGGAACCACCACCAGGGATCTCCATGGCACTTGGTCCCAACACCGTGTGCAAGCTGAGAAAATCATTATATGGGCTAAAGCAGTCACCACGAGCCTGGTTTGGAAAATTCACCGATTCCATGAAGCGTTTTGGGTACACTTAGAGCAACTCGGATCACATTTTATTCTTAAAGCGTCGTGGTGACAAACTTACGGCCCTTATCATCTATGTTGATGATATGGTGGTTACCGGTAATGACAATGAAGAAATGAAGAATTTGCAGAAGCTCCTTGCTAGTAAATTTGAGATGTAGGAATTAGGTGAGTTACAATATTTTCTTGGCATAGAAGTTGCTAGATCAACACATGGCATATTTCTATTCCAACGAAAATATGTGTTAGACTTGTTAACAGATACTGGAATGCTTGATTGTAAGCCAGCTGACACACCTATTGAGCAGAACCACAAGTTAGGGATGTATCCAGACCAAGCACCCACTGACAAAGAAAGGTATCAAAGATTGGTTGGGCGATTGATTTATCTATCACACACACGCCCCGACATAGCTTATGCTGTGAGTATGGTGAGTCAGTTTATGCATCAACCAAGTGAGGCACACATGAATGCAGTAACTCGGATCATGAGGTACTTGAAGGCTGCCCCTGCCAAGGGGTTGATATTCTCCAAACATACACATATGAACCCAGAAGGATACACAGATGCGGATTGGGCAGGATCCATCACAGATAGACGTTCTACTTCTGGATACTTTACATTTGTGGGGGGCAACTTAGTCACTTGGAGAAGTAAGAAGCAAAAAGTTGTGGCTAGATCAAGTGCTGAAGCAGAATTTAGGGGAATGGCTCAAGGAGTTTGTGAATTGCTCTGGTTACGGAAATTACTGAAGGATCTGGGAATTAAACCATTGAAAGCTACAAACTTGTACTGCGACAATAAATCAGCTATCGAGATAGCACATAACCCAGTACAACACGACCGTACCAAACATGTGGAAGTCGACCGACACTTCATCAAAGAGAAACTAGAAAGGGGTATAATCAAGTTTCCATTTGTAAACTCGGAAAACCAACTTGCTGACATCTTGACGAAGGCCGTATCAAGTAAAGTTTTCCATGACTCACTGGACAAGTTGGGCATGCGTGATATCTTTGCACCAACTTGAGGGGGAGTGTTAGTAAAGTCAAAGACAAAACATAGACATCCCTAAATGGCTTGTCTACCACCTTGTTACTTTTCCTTGTTTTCATATTCCTTGTTTTAGGGATGGAAACTCTCCATGTTTCCCTCCATGTCTTGTGCATTGTTTGTAACTAATAATCACCTTGTATACTTGTATATCTAACCCTTCACTAAGTAAGAAACTAAATTGTCAGATTTGAATTCTCTGCAAAACCTATCTTGTTCTTCTTATTATACATTCTCAACTCTCTCAATTACACTATATTTGGCAGGATTTACAGACAACAAAGCAATAAATTAAGGAAAACAAGTTATATTATGTTTTAAGTTTCAATGTTACGTACAAAAGAGCTGCAAGGCAATATTTTCTTCCTAGCTTCCATGCTTTTACATTGAATTAATCTTTGGTTCTGTTCAAACAAAATACTAAAACTTGCCATGGCCATTGTTACCTCATGATGGCTGATGAGGTCATCATCCTGAGGGAAGTTGAGGAGGAACCTCCTCATCGCATAGACAGTTGAGTTAAGTTGAATTTCCCCCAAATGAGCCAATACAAGGTTTCCCATATTCCTTTTTTTGTCACAGATTTTCAGTGCCAATATTATATCAGCACCCATCTAGAGAAATTTTTAATTAGGGTTTCAAGCTGGAGAGAGAGGAAAGAGAAAGCCATACGACCTCGTTTAAGGAGTTGATTGACAAAAGAATGGGCCCAATGTTAAGATTTAACATCCGAAAGCACTATGGCCCCAACAGAAAAAATATCCAAACGATGTTGTTCCAGTAGAAATGAGATGGGCCCTGGAGGAGGTGGTCCAAAAGAAAATGCTTTCACACAATCACCCAAAATAATCAGAGAGCTGTTATGCTCTTGGAACCTAAAATCGGGATTTTGTCCTAAAAAAAATCTAAAATCATAATTGATTAAGTGCTCGTTTGGCATTGCTTATTTAG